ACTTTAGCAGGGCTACAAACTGGCGAAATCAAAATTAAATTTTAAGAAAAAAATTGAGCAAGCTCTAGTGCATTAGGTCGTCTCTTTCGTGCAATCACTCCTAGAGGCATTGTGATAAGTTTTTTTCCTTAGATGTCTAGTACCCTACAGTCCAATTTTCAGGTGTTCAAATGATTCATGCATGATACAATAGAATCATCAAAAGAATGACATGTCATAAATCTTAATTTTCTCATTTTATGTTAGGAGCCATTATACAACCACACGTATACTCAGTTCATTATGATCAGAAATTATGGGGTAATTATGGGGAACTCAAGAAACATGCGTCAGTATAAACATTACACCTAGCATAATAAACAATTTGTTATAAAATTATTCAACTGTTGAAGATATATTTCTTTGTTGGAATTAATTGGTCAGGACCCCAGCTTCAAGGAACTAAATCGAGCAAGTTCTTTATTCAGCAACATTTTCCATTTTTATAATAACATTGACATCAGTTTGTCGATCATTGAAAGATCTAATTGTCAATAAAACACCAACTCGATGCGTCAAAAATCGCAAATAACCGCGGCGAACAAGAAAGCTGGTGGAAACGACTATCGTCTCTGTTATAACGAACTGATTAACAATTGGTCGAAGACAACAAAAATAATAGAGTTAGTCCGTATTTGACATTTGTCTCCTGCGTCTATAATTCAAATTCTTTTTCTGTGAACGAAGTCACTTGTCCCGTTGAAAAAAATATTAGCTAGTGATTCACTGACTCACGTCTTGTGCTCGTCTACTCGTCTCTTACCGACGGGAGTGTTTGAAATATGATTTAGTTCGTGATAGAGTCGTGTGATGTTTTAATTTTCATTGTGCTGACAACATCAACTCCATCGATAAAGGTTATTTTCACATCAACCAATACTCTACTGCAATCAGGTCCAACTTAGTACTCGTTTAGAAAATCATGAAAACACTAATGTTATGATTCTGATTGCTGAAAAAAGAAGTATTTCGCTAAAATTTAGAGAAAATAATTAGGAAATCAGTTATAATTTGCATTACATGCTGTATGTTGATTATTTTCAAATTTCTTAAAAAAGCAAAATCTAAGTTCCTATTTGAGTTCTTCAGTAGTACCGTGAAGCACTTGAAACTTGTCTGATCTATACCTCTTTTGAAAAACAACTTTAGTTTAACTAATAAAACGCAATTGTTTGCTTCACTAACGCTTAAGAGAGCTTTCTTGACTCAATCAAGCATTTGCTCATGAGACTGTCAACAGAGGCATCGACATCGAGAAACTTGTCCAAAGCGGCTGCAGCGTTCCTATTTAAGGTATCACCAAATATATTCACAATTCACTTAAAGTTTCCAGAGCGGTTAAGAACGTACTGCAATATAAAATCGATGGAAACATGTGCATTGCAGGTTTGCTTAAGTCTCTTTCTACTCAAGCAGCGGCCACGCTTCTTAAAGAGACGTGCATCGCATACCCACAACAGTATCTAACGCAAGATAATTCTCTCACATTTTTGGAAGAGTATTTTTGTAAAAGAATAATCCAGCATCGACGCAAGTATCTATTGATTTCTTCAATATTGAACATGTTTAAAATAGAGTTCAACAGAGCTGCCGAGAAATCAATAACAACGAATGTAGGTCGAACAACTTTCTCTTAAGACTAACAATACATTTTCATACTGTATTCGAAAAGTAGCTTATACCAACACCACTGTGATCTGACAAAACAGTGGAAGCTAAAGGTATAATGTTTGAAGGATCCTGTCTTTAAAAATAACAGCATAGAAATAAGAATGTTTCTGATGTGGAAGTTTTCGTATGACTGAACCCGTAGCATCAAGATGTATGCATACGATATTCTGCTGCCTTTGCTTTTAAAGCTGAAATTGTTGGACAATCAGTAAACTTGCAAGTCTTTAACAATTTCGGATCAGTATTTAAGATGCGTAATGGACCGAGTTTATCAACTTGTTCGCCTTAAGGAGAAAAGGTAGTCGATTATTACGGATGCAGAAATCATTCGTGCATTTAAAAACATGCTCATTAAAAGACTACCCGCACCAGTAGTTCGACGAGCAGCAGTTTCTTCTTTTGGATTATGATTCTCTGTACCTAGCATACAAGTAAATATAATACTGAACCACTGGAAAAATTTTCAAGATTTTACTGAGGATCGGATTCGTTATAATATTGCTAAAAAATATGGAACATCGTTTCAAAAGTTCAATGCGTCGAATAGCTAATAATGACTTAAACTTTGATTTCATTGCCACGTCTGAGCAAAACGAACTAACTGAGATCGCTAATCTTCAACTAAAGGATTCGATCCCAACCTTAGAAGAATCAAAGTCAATTTTTGCCACTAGAATGCTCTTTTTACAAATCGTTCAGTTTGAGTTAGTTAATGAGACTTTCTGTTCTTAGAAGGTTAAAGATTGAATTTCAAAATAGATGGACAATTTGGTCTTCACTAGCTGTTTTATGAAACTAAAAATCTTTGGAAATTTCCAAATGCAAATCTGTTACATTTTGACTATCTCATCTGTCACTGGAAAAGATCCCGGTGAAATAAGCAGTTTGCCAGAATTGTTCGCCTCGAGTGACGATGGATTTTACATGGATTGGATGGGAAAACCTGATTCAGCTACTTGTGATATTTCCAAGTACACTATTTGTCCTGATCCACGTGTCTCGCATGAACGTAAATAGAATCGTCAAAATGTAATAACTCGAAGCCGCTTTTTTGTACTAAACTTTTCCTTGCATTTTGATGCTTTTTCCTTTTGTAACTAAACTCAATTATAACTCAATGAAATGTACATACCGACATGTCGATATCTGGCATTCTCTAAGGAGTTAGTAATGCCTTAAGAGTGAAAAAACTCAACGATATATCTGGATAGATCTGTTGAAAATAATAAATTTCACTTAGATCACAATGGAGAAAGGAATAAAAAAATGTATTTTTCTCAGATAATATCAATTGAGTAAAAGAGCTCAAGATATATTTGGATAGAACTCGTTGAATTCTACATCACACACTATTTTCCCTTGCTGACACACATTCGACAGAGAATATTTGATGATAACAATAATTTTTATTTTTTTTACGATAATATTGAATGAAGCTAATGAGTGAAATAATAATATGTACTTTCATCATATGAAACATCTGAGCATATATTTGGATTCATCTTGTCAAACTGTATTAGACAGTTTTGACAGACAGTTTCTTAAATATGTTCCCGTAGAAAATATCACTGTTTGCTCAGTAACTGTGTCTCACGCAAGGATTTATTTATTCAGATAGCAGATAGTGCGGTTATATAGAGCTCACGGAGTTCTCTGTGACACACGAAATAACTTTTATGACACACGTTTGTGTGAGAATGTTTTCAAAAATTATTAGAATATCAAGCTAACTTATCCTACGTTCAGAGAGGGCAGTTTCTTATGTACCTTGATGAGCTCTATAAACCTAGATTGGTTTTAAGTGACACGAAAATACTTTTGTAGAATGTGGTACATTTCAGACAATTCGTAGACGGTTTCCACTATATTTTTATTGTCTTGCTCGGTGTGCGTGTGAAAATGGGGAAAACGACAAATGAAGACAGCAACGACAAAGAATAGCAGCTTGATTTAGTAGTCAAAATTCGGGATTTGAAACTCATAGTTCTGCCAGTTATTGGTAAGTTGACTCAAAACTTACTGAAAATATTATGATACATTGGGTCATCGTATAACGTCAAGTATTGTGCAGAATATAAGAAAGAGCAGCGAAGTTGATTTTTGCAATTAATATTTTATATTAATTTTAAACTTTTTGACTTGTCGGAACTACAGTTAAGTATATTTTATTTTACTACCCTTTTTCGCGTGACTAACTTATAAAACTCATGAGTATTTTTATCTCCGATAGCGTCTACGGGGAATACCACCGATGTTTGCACTTGGATATCCAATAGCATTAAGTAAAAATTGATCATATTCACCTCGGTACACAGCTACCACAAATTTCATATATTCATTATAACTCACATCATGATTTAAACCTATCATTTGTAAAGCGCGATCAATGTCTGAATCTCGAAATTGTATACCAAAACGTCTTAGACATTGTTTTAATTCTGATTTACTAATGAAACCATCATGATTAGCATCTAATACACGAAAGGCTTGTTTAATTATTTGTAGTTCACGAGGAGGCAGAACATTGCTTGGATTACTACTATTCGACATTCTAAGAAAACAAAAAATAGGAATCTGTTAAAATATGTTTGTGAAAGAAATGATCATACAAGGAAGAGAATCCTCAACATACCTGTTTTCTCATGTTATATACCAGCAAAAGCATTTTTTGTACGCTTGGTAAGTCATGCATAACTTCCAACACTATGTCCGTTTTCAATCAACATATTCATCGCTCTAATGCTTTATAGAGTATTTCTAAAAGACGCGAACACCCACGATCACCCCCAAATTAAAATCTCAGTTAGCTCTCAGTAGCTAATTGATAGAGCTCGCCGAGCTGAGTATAGCAACGCCTAACGAACACCCAAAAAGTTTTTATCGTCAAAGAGATATTTCAAATAAGACGTATGCGCATAAACAAACAAAACTAGAACTTCTTGCCTGGATAACTATGAATTTCGAAAAGCGCAACTAATGTGTTTTTCAGAGAACAATTTCGCACACACTCACATATTTACACGTAGAAGTCAAAGAAGTTTCATAGAGATTTAAGGTTTCATAATTAATTTGAAATAACATCGGTGTTAAGATCGCCAAACCGAATGTTAACCAATCCAAGTACACAATTCGCTATGTGTAAATAAAATGTTTTGTATTTTAAAGTGTCGATGAGTATCTGACATGACTTGAAATAGTTTTATGTCTCTTGTGATGTGCTCGATTGCAATTCGATAGGATGATAAACGGTTATTAAAAGCCAATCTTTGCTGTTTCGACAACCGATTCCTTCGTAACTTGTTTGCTCTACAATGATCCTGAAACTAGATAGAATACTACCATTTTCAAAAACAGTAACTTTTCTCTATGAAACCTTACTTAAATGGTGTTAAAACCGGCGGCTTATTTGCAAACCCTCTGTCTCCTAGTAACCAACAACCGGGTGAACTCGGCATCGCTCAGCAATCCTGGGTTGGGTTCACAACTTTGCGTCATGTCATGAACCAAAATATCCAGTGCGAAAAAAGACGAAACGACGGTTTGGTGTGCAGATGTAAATAGCGGCCAAACAATGATGTTTTTGCTTCCCGGAGTAATATTTTCGTTGGCTCCTCACTGCGAAAAAAAGTTTAAACAAATATTTTTTCTCCCGTAAATTTTCACACGTTCACTGTTCATGTATCATATATAACTCATTTAATTTTTGATCATGGAGTTTAAGGTAATTGACATACTGATTTCGCCATGTTCTACCCGGCTTTCGGGAACACAATGCAATCAGGGTGAATCATTCACCTCAGACTTGCTTCGAACCTCGTTGAGCTTAAAATACGTACATAGCAATTTAAGACGACAATAGATTAAAACACTTGATTAAATATCAAATAATCCGGAAAATCAGATATTATACCTGTGCAAGACACGTTTCACGTCCGCAACAGAAAATCATATTTAGTCTAATCGTGTAAATTTATCAGGTCTAATGCGTGAATTCCATGGTTAAAAATTAAATGAATTATATATGATACATGGACAGTGAACGTGTTAAAAACTGCTCTTTACCTGGCCTCTGAATTTTGTGACCTGTCCCGTCAATGTAGCCTGCTATATTACCAAGCACCGAACCATAAATCACCGTTTCTGTCAGTTTTTCAATTGAAGGCCATTTTATCATTTCGATTAATTGAACGAGTGTGACGACGTTGCTTAGTTGTTGTCATTCGCTGCAAAGCTTTGACTAAAAACTTTTGAAACAAACATTCGAATGCGTTGGGTGTTCTACCTATTAACAATATAAAGTGATTTCCGCGATGGATAACAGTAGAATAAACCTCGGTTGCTGCTCCAAACTTGCCACCTTTATATCCCTGACGATAATTAGGTATACTATACAACTGTGTTAACGAGTGCAATCGTTGCCCTTGTGATGTTGCACCACTTGTCGACATTTGGATTATCCGTGAAAATATTTTCAGAGTTGAGACGACAAACAGAATGTTGAGAAAAATAAGGTTAGCCAACCAATACAGAAAATAAAATCTAAAATAATTTTTTGTCATACTCAAAACTTTCATCGAACCAGTTTCTGTCGTAGGAAATTTATTTATATTAGTGACGAGTCGGTAATAAACGCAACCTCGTTCCTGTCGCTCAAAATGAGTAAAAAAATACGATCCTTTCTAGACGAAGCCGCAGCAATATTCCACTGTCAACACACATACGGAAATAAATTTCGTGATTTCGTCGCATATTTGAGAGATGATCAAAGTGTCATAACAGATGTAAGAAATCTATATGGTTCTCTTGTCGATGTACAAGCAACAACAAGAATTATCGATTATTTACAACGTGAAGGAAAAAAGTAAGTGAAAAATAACGTTTTTGCACCTTTAAAGAATATTTTCATTGTTTTTCATTTGACGAATGCTTTTAATTCTCAGAAGTAACATCTCGAGCTTGTAATAGTATCATCAAAGGTCTAGAATCACTAGTTGATGTTTCTGTTTCATACCTGACCTTTTGAGTGTATCACATTAATTGAGTTCAAAGAAAAGAAATAATTGATCACAGACCTCGAGAGAAAAAATATTTTCTTTAAAAGCATCTCTATATGTGTCAATCATTATGGTCTCAGTGCTTATTGAGCGTGGTGTCTATTTTTAGGGCCGCTCTTGTGAAAACTCTACAATATTTAAAAACAACGGGTATTGCTGGCTATTTTCAGCTAATTAAAAAGTTGTGTCGTACTCGTCTTCGAAATATCAGAATGTAATGTGCGATGATTCATTATATAGTGCTCCAACTACAGGCCGCTCAATAACATCAGCCAAATTCCATCGACGATATGGAATTGGGTGATGACGAGGTTGTGTATCAGCAGCCAAGTGCTGCAGACCTTCCCTCGTTCATCACTTCACACTTGCGTCCAATACATCGATCTTCGTCGCAGGTTCTCCATTGAATATTTCTCCATTACCAGTTTTATCTGTTTCACCACCACCAAATCCCCGTGTCCCATCATAACAGCAACAACAACAATCATTCTCTCCAACAGAATCAATTATTAATTAATTTTCTACAAGAAATTCGCCACCACATATAACTTCTTCGAATCAAACTCGTGGAGAAGATCGCGATGACAGTGAGCATCAAGGCCCAATAATAATCAGCCGTGCAGTACTGTGCAGTCATTTTAACCGACAACCGCAACAACGTCATCCACTAACAACATACGGCGATCTCTCTGCTTGTGACATACTTCCACTGACACATCATCGAGATCGACATAATCAAACGCCCATTCAGTCACAACAAATCGACTCACCTTCTGCTGTAGCTAGCTCAATTCCATTATCATCACAAATTTTTAACCCATCGGCTCAACTCAATTTATCATTTCAGAAAGGTAAGTTATTAGACTTTTATTTATTATGTTACTCTAGTGAACAGATTTTTGACGGTTTTTTTAAATACCGAATTTCCTTAGTTTTTTGGTGAATATGATTACTTAGGCAGCTGTAACTTTGCACTCAAATTCTCTGGCAGTTGTAATTTTATAGAAACGTCTTCCATGGGGTTTGGAGAGCGCGCAAATTTTCCAAATTTTGGACTTTTTCCATTTATAACCATGTCGGACTTCTGATTTTTCACGATTTCTACCAATGAAAAGTAAGCTAGCACTTGGCAACATGTCTGTATACTGTACTCGAGCTACTTATGGTTATTTTATTCATAAAGATATGATTATAAGCGGCCGGCAGAAAAGATAATTATTTTACGGATAATGCCTCCTATCTCGTAACGGAAAAGACCTGAGCAGAGATATTTTCGAATTAGTCATGTCCTTATGCTTATAAGTAACTTGCAACAAAGATTTTTCTTCAACTCGTCTGCAAAAAAACTCCAGTCAAATCTATTTTGACTCGATATGTTCTCTTATATTAAGTCTAGGAAAAAAGTCGTCGAGTACGTATGTTATGTGCGAAAATCAGAAAAAATAAGCAAATGAAGAACACGACATGCACATACCAGGACATTTTTTCTTAAACTCAAGTAAGAGAACAAATTCTATTTGCATCGAATGTTTGGTTTAGTTAGCATGACGAGTCGTCCAAATTTTTCTGGACCCCTCTGACTATGATGTTCCGAAAGGTGGTCAAGGAAATTACGTTGGTCATTCCAAATGCATAAAAATTCCTAAAATCAAACTGAAGTTCAGACACATTACTAATTTTAATCTGGATAGCACTATACCTTAAAAACTAAAACGAACCCTTTTCTAGAATACATCTCAATATATAGTACAAATTGTGTATTTTAGATCAGTATAAAAGATGGAAAAGGGTCCTCTCTAGTTGTCGTAGTTTTAAATGGGCAGAATATAGAATAAATTCACAGCCAGCACTGCTTCTTTGAATATAGAATAAATTTCAATAATAATAGGGTGAATCTATGAGGACCCATCCACTTTTTGGAAAGGTTTTCTTTTTCGATTTTTTTTTCGCATCAAAGTGTCAGTATGCTCTAGAAAACACTTTTGATGAAAAAAAATAAGTCCTTTCTATTAAAAATCCCGAGTTTTGAAGCAGTTTTTCGGAACACCTATGATATGTTTTTATATATAGAGAAAATATCAGGAAAAAACCTAGAACATGTTCAAAAGTAATTTTTTTTGAATTTTTTTGTGTTCAAAAATCTAAAACAAGTCTAGAAATATGTTTTCTGAAAACATTAGATCGGTCCTATTGAAAATCTTGAGTGCTGAGTCATATTTCGTCAATATGAGTTGGATTCAATTAATTTGAAGAATATTTATCTTTCATTCCTTGTGGAGTATGACAACTTTTATGAGACTCTCAGGACGATGTTGAACTGATGACTTTGTTCACATTAATAGGAAGATTTGCTGTTAAGCCGTCTTGTAGAAGTGAGACCACTTAGTCAAAAAGAATAGTGCTATCGAAATAATGAATTTTCCATTTCTCTGTAAGGACATCTTTAAATGTAAAGTCTTATCCACAAATGTCGTGACTTCAAACGAATAAGATTACGAGATGAATCATTGAATATTAGAAAATATCGACTACCCACTAGTACCTTATTTTTTTCAAAATTGTATCCCAATGCCAAGACGAAAAAGTTGTCAACATCCGATAAAGCATGGAAAATCTGCACGTGTGCCAAAAGGAGTAGTGGCTGTATCATCACAGTTATCGAAATTTTTGGTTACTCAATATGATGTGGCTTACACCCGATATTATTATTATTATTATTTTTTTGTTTCAGGGTTGGTGATAATAATCTTTTGACAAGCAAGTGGAGGTAACTATGTATAGTCATGATTTGTACACAATAGTAATATACTTACGTACAATGTACATTATTTGTGGTTATGTTCAACATGTCATGCATTTGAATCGAAGAAAATGGTAACTCATCAATCAATGGAATTCAACGACGATGAAAGTTCAAGTGATGATGAACTCATGACAGAAGGTTCTCCTGCCAATGATGGCAAAAATGATGATGATCCTGTCAATGTGGACTTTTATGATTCGAATGAAGCAGAGAAAGACAATCCTCATATGAATAGTGGTATCATAGGTGAATCAAATGACAATGATGATGAGACAACTGACCCTGAATCGATGGATGAAGAGACAGGTGATGCTTTCTATGAGCTCGAACACCAGAAAGATAAAGCAATGGAAGAATTATCAAAGATATTCGAACTGATGAACATAGATCCGATCCATGATAGGTTAGTCTATAAATTTAATTCGAATTTCTTCAAACGACATTTGTATTTAGATCAGCAGTATTACCCATTCGAGCCAAAATTGATGAAGTGTATAGAAAACTTAATCAATTATGTGACATATTAGATGGAAAGTCTCAAGATTCACATGATCCAAATTCTCATGGGCTGATGATATATGAATCAAATGAACTGTTGGCCGGTTTGAAAAATTTATTCGCTGATAGTAATGCTGATGAACAAGTTAGCTTAATGACAATTGCTCCCAAACAATGGGGCCGACAAAAAGATCGAAAAATGGTGTGTATTCATCCTCACTCCGTTCAATATTTTCGCATTTTTTCAATCAAATGTTACTAAAAACTTCGTTCACTTATCAGGTTTCAATCAAAGCCAAATCAGGCTCGACGATCGCTGGTTCTTCGGAAAAGAAATGGAATACTAGCTTATCCACAATGTCTACGAGGAAATAATCATTCTTTATCTGACTCAACAATTGATGCTGTGGTCAGGTTCTATTGTGAAGATGGTATCAGTCGAGTCTCATCCAATTCCAAAGATACGATTAAAATCCACGGCCAATCAGTGGCAGTTCGATTTTTAGAAATGACTGTCTTAGATGCCTACCACTTATTCAACGAACGACATCCTGGAGCTGTTTCAAGATCAACTTTTAATGCTCTTCGACTACGAGAAGTAAAGACTGCAACACCGCACGAGACGTGCATGTGTATTATCCACGAAAATATGGATCTGTTATTGAAGGTTTGTGCTAGTTATATATTGATTCGAATGTACCTTAACTTCATTATAGGCTTGGAACGCTTACTGCCGAAAATGTGCCGGTGCAGTTTCTTTATCGTCTAGTGACAAGGTCAATATGAAGGATCTGATAACTCAAAGTCGCATTGTTCTTTAAGAACATCAGCGTACCATTAAACTCATCTGTACAAAGTCAATACTCTGTTAATTCAACATTAATACAATTGTCAATCAATTGATGACCGAAGAATTATTAACACAAATATCCTATGATACATATTATACTCAATGTCAACCACTCTATTGTACGGTTACGTATACGAAAACACATGCAGATTTTATTTACATTATAACAACACTGATCAGTCTTTACAGTGGTCTAACGAGGGAACATATGTAACTGACCAATCGTTTTTTTAATGAAATCTGGTGGAGTATAGGTAAAACATAGTGCTGAATCCGAATATCGGCATGAGACGACGGGCCTTGCGAGTACCGGATTTTTGCGAAACCAGGTTTCCAGAGCCAGAAACTTTTTTCTGATCTGTCTCGATTGTAGAGCACATCGAGAAACCTATAAAAAACTAGTTTTGGAGTTTTTTAAAGTGTTTTGCTCCCTCAAAAAACCTCAGCGTACGAAAAAGAGAAGAAAAGTCCGTCGGGCGGGCTGTGAAGCAGCTTATTTATGATGAAATGCTGATTCAGACTTCCGAATCAAATAAACAATCAATCTCAATGCCAACATCTATATTAATGGACACCCATCTCGAACCTTTTCTTGTTTAATGTACTTTTGACAGCAATAAATTTACGTGTAGTTTTAATAATTTTAAGAGGTTACTGGAATCAAGAATGAAATTTAGATACTCCTTTGTCTTTTCATTCTTGTAATGAGTTAAGTAAAATTATGTTTAGTCTAAAAGTATTACGTTTGATTTCGATTCAGAAGTATTTAGATTATTTTAATATAAAAGTTTAAAATATATGATTGTAAGTCATCAGATTTTATATTAATAGGTATTTACAGGTTGTAATTTTATTATTTTATTTTTTTGCATAATTATGATTATTGTATTTAAGGTTAATTAATGATTTTAGTTTTATTTTACTATATTATTTTTTATTTTATTATTCTGTTATCTTATTTTGTTTTATATATTTTATTTATGTTTTAATATATTTAATTTTTAATTATTTAATAATTTTATGTTTTAAACATGTTAATTATGGGGGTATATTGGTGTTTGTACGCATACATGATTTATGTATTATAATTGTTATTTATAATATTTGTATATCTGGGTGGTTGAAGGTATAAGTGGTTGGCTTATTTTATTTATGGTTTTATTTATTGTAATAAATGTTTTTACCAGACAACTTTGAACTACCGTATGTTCAATCACTTGTGTTTCGTGATGTTGCCCTCGATGTGTTAGTTTAATTATAATTTTAGTTTATATAGATAAATGCTGAAATAAAATAGGATTACCACTAGATAAACAGTTTCTTAAGCGAAAAGTTTTCTCTGACGTCTTCTTTCCATAGGACAGTTTTTCGAAAAACTCGATTTTTAGCGAGGTTTGGGAGCTCAATTTTTATGACGAGGAAAAATATTCACTTATCAATAATACATACGTTAGAATCCCCTTTTGACGTGCTACCCGACTATCAAATTTTGAATTTTCTCAAACCAAAATCGATCACTGAATGTTGTAGAGATAAACAAATGTTTAAATGGCGACAGAAAATGTGCATTATCAATAGTATCAAAACTTTCAGAGAGCGCAAGCAACTTGGGTTCGACGAGTCATGCTAACCTGGTGGAAGAAAGTATCAAGCAACAGAGACGCTCAAAATATCTAGTTTTTGAGAGTGCTCCAAGAAATATTGCCGGCAGCCTAAAACCTTTATCACTAAGGTAGCATCGCGCTTTATGAGTTGATGACTGATTCACATTTGCTGAATATCACCCCGCAACTGTTGTACCTGGTGGGTTGTGTGCTGCTAAAATTCTTAAGATTTAAAATTATAACTGCGTGATTCACTCTGTGATTCATGTTATTTACTTTTAGCTGCAACACAGAGCCAGATTGATTCCAATAGTCGGAAACATGAAAAAATTAGCGATGAAGCTCGGGTTGTTATGGAGAAAGTTATACAAGAAACTGAAGCTTAACAACAAGCTCTGTTAGCTGATGCAAATGCACGTAGTATTGAAATTCAATAACAGTATAAATTAAAACTACAGGTATCGGCTTATATGTGGTTGTTACTTTATCTTCTATTTGACAAGTCTTTAAAACTAAACTAAAAGAAATATTGTTCACCTGTTGTAGGCTTTAGATTTAGTTAAAGCACAAAAATTATTTATATTGGAAAACGATTTAAATATGAAACAAGAATTGATATTAGAAGAAGGTAAAATTGGATATTAAACGGATGTTGCACAAAATTCTGACAGAAAATTTTTCTTTTTTTAATTTGTTTCAATAGCACGAAAACGTATTGATCATTTGAATGATGAAAGAAATCGATTAAAATTGGTAGTATGCAAAGATACTGAATCACAGGTATCGCAGAGAAAGCAATTAGGTGCAAAAAAAAGCAAAGATCGGTAAAGTTGAATGATGTTTTAAAATGCTGCAGAAAGATTACTTTTTATCCGAATACGTTTGTGTTTTCAGGAACGTTTTTAGATCCTTTTTTCCATGCAAAAGCCTCTTGTTTTATAAGTACTTGAAGTTTCAGATATCTCAATTTCAGACGCTTACTATAACCATTGTCCAGAAGGTGACTTTTATATGCTTCCTTCTCTACTTCAGGCTAACGACAGGATTAGAGATGGGCAAGTTCGGTATTTTTCCAGTCCCACTCCGCTAAGCTCAACAAAAAACATTTCAAATACTTTTTTTGTTTGATGTTAAATTATCCTTATTAGACGTCATTATGTCTTAACGTAACTTTGAGAAAATTAGAATGTCCAGTACAGAAAGGCAGACGGGCATCTAGTGCAAAGAAACTAGGCAATCAACGGAAAAAACGAGCCTCCTTTTGATTGTAAGTAACTCTAATCAAAAGTTCTGATCAGATCTAATCTTAACCGACTACGCGGTAACACGAAAAGGATAACAGATTAAATTCAATTTCTTTATTCTTTTCATCTTTTTTCAAATTTAAACTGAAAAGTCCAGTCACAAATGCGAATAACTCTGCCGAAAAAGGTCCACGTCTCTTTTGTCTTCAGTCCCATTCCAGTCCAAGTCTCTTACGCCTCCAGTCCCAGTCGAGTCCCAACTAGAGCCCATCGGATCCGACCCGGACCCGGTTGGGTCCGGGTCTGAAAATTTTGAATTCATCGGGTCCGGGTCCAAAAATCATGGACCCGATGGGCTCTAATGTAGAATATGTTACTTGTCGAACATAAAAAAATGAAAAAAAAAGGATATCCTATCTTTGGATCGATTATCAAATCCGAACTAGAATTTTGCATTATAGATCTCAAATGAGTGATTCGTGCCCGAATCACAAAGAATTAATTATTGGGTTCGAATCCGAGAATTTTCTTTGAGCGGGTCCGGGTCTGGATACAAAAAAATTTAACCAACCGGGTCCGGGTTTGAATAAATTTTTATCATCGGGTCCGGATCCGAGTCCAAAAATCATGGACCTGGTGGGCTCTAACATCCCGCGAGTTGGAGGATGTTTAAGAAGCTATAATTAAATTTAATTGTTTTTTACTTCATTTCTATCTCAACCACTATACTACGAAATTTTGAGTTGCTATATTTCTGAGTTCTAATTATCAGTACTTCACAGGCGAATTTGTCTCAAAATATAAAAATCTTATTCAACAATAACGTGAAAATTCATTCACAATGAATGCTTCATAAAAATGTTTATGCTGAGGGATTGCCATACACAATAAACGTACGTTTGCTACACGTGGAAGATTGCTTTCACAGAAGTTCGCAGTCCAAGTCTCATCGTTTCTGACTGAAAATAATTAGATGCTGAAAGCTATCGTTTCTGTGCTCAAAGTATGTGGCATTGTCCAAAAACATGCGTCATTACCATATTGGACATTCTGAAAACGTTTTAAATGAAAATCACCACAAAAATAAGTTGCGATCAACTAGATCTTCAAAAAATGCGGTAGTATCAGTAAACCAACTAACATGTCTTCAACGGAAAGCTTGTTTGGCCTACTAGTTGGAATGCTTTACGGTATATTGTATAATAATTGTAGTATTGATGGTGTCTATTCAATGGATCTAAACTAAAACAATTTGATTTACTATTTGGTTAAAATAAAGGGTAGGACCAGTGAAAGTCTCCAAATTAGCAGTAGTGAAATGTACTCACTGGATGCGGCAAGTGTAAGATCCTGAATTGATCACTCAATTTGAACGAATTGATCCGCTTTTACTTCCTATGCAATAGAAACGACTAGATAGTCTTCAATGTTAATGAATCATTACTGTCAACGTTCCTCTCATAAAAGTCAGCGACTCAGTTTCATGGCACCATACCTCACCTCTGATGAAATGTAGTGAGATGGATAGTATTATTGTGGCATAGTAAAGCAGACTTATTGGATGGACGTCCTGAATTTGATTTAAAAATAAAATGGGATTTTCATTCTTTCCTTACTAGTTACAATAGTCGAGACTTTCAATAACCATTCCGAAAATATCCTTGAGAAACTCAGTAGACACCGTATAATGGATCATCTTTGTAATAGATCTGCTGTAGGCTTCACGGTTCTGTATTAACCCATTCCCTCTCACCTGTATTCTCGCGGTCGAAAAGTATGGATTTATCGCTGAAACGCATATGTTTATTGGAGATCTCATCATTAAGAAAAATTTGTGTTATTTGCAATAATTAAAGTTTCGGGTGATTAAACTCCAATAATTGCAGCGTACATCAGTAGTTATTGCGTTGTTAAGAGTTAATATTGTGCACGTCATATTCTGCATAAAAATCGAGCTGATCAGATACTTTTGAAATTTCAACTGAAAAACAATTTAAAAATTTTATTAAGGTTGTTATGTTTGAATTGTTGCACGCGCTTTATCATTAGAACACCATGTTAAAACGTGAATGGAAGAAAGACCTTTGCAAGACCTACATATGCAGACTATATCTGCTATGTTTTCATCCATTGAAAATAGCAAATTGGAAGGATAGTTTGAACTTGAAAGTTGATTAATGCCGTCAAACATGAGATAATTTTACAAATCGATCTGTTCGTTTATAATTCATCCACATTCCTCTACGAAATTATATGAATTTACTGTTCAGAACAAAGAAATGATGAAGCGTTTGATGTTATCCGCGCTCATATTCAGTTTATATTGCTGTTGTAATTTTTTAAGTATCTTTGTTTCAACTTGTAGCTTTTACTTTACAAGTCTTCATAAAAGTGATATGGCAGACATCAAAATGAATATAGGAATATATTAATAAGATAACGATAACAATTAATCGTATAGCATTCGCTTCGGTTATAAAAAAACAAATCAATTAAATATTAACATTCAGGAACTCTATAATCCTAAAAATGGATTAACTCAATCGAAATCTATGTCATTTTGCTCTAAATATGGATAATTTGTGATTGGTTAGTTGAGGATTATAAAGTATATATGTCAATTGAAATCATAGACGATGATGTGTACATATCGAGAACGAGAAAAAAAATGGAATCACATTTATATATTTAATATGGCGATCTTTGTTGTGGTCTTGTAATACATCTTGAAATCGTCAGAGTAGTCTCTTAAGTGTTTGCCATCATTTTTCACATCCATTACCACGATATGTGATTGAATTCTCTTATACATACATATTTTTTTACTTGTGTATACCCTATATATTAAAAGAAAAGGAATTTGAACTTTTCTTCTTTATGATTTTTCCTTTTTTTTGTGACTTTTATAACCATGGCTTAGTAAATAGTTTTGTTTAAACAAACATTGTGTGTGTGTGTGTGTGTGTGTATGTGTGTATGAGTGTGTATGGGATCTTTTTACCACTTGAAATGAATTGAACAAAAATCCGTTATAGTATCGAATAAAAAACTATCTATACTATATCGAGTATTTGGGTTGGAGTCAGTGATATGTCGTATGGAAACTTTGGTTTCTGGTTGAGAAAAATAAGAGTTAGACATTGTATGATGATCGACCAAAGAAATTATGCTTAAAATCTTTTGCAGATAAGAAGTAAGTGAATGTTTTTTTATTTAGTAGACACGTATCATGGTATTTTTAACACTTAAATTAATTAAGTCTAACTGGAGTATGAAAATTAGAAATAAAGTTAAAGTTTCTTGAAATACTATAACTTTTGCAACTTGAATGGAATATTTATGCTTGTAAAACATTCTAAGATCTTGCAGAACAGTGGATTTAAGTTTTGCAGTTTACTACAAAGCTAAGTTCATGTATTCAAATCTTTATTCGTACAGAATTGATTTTGTGTTTTTCGATAGTTTTAGTTTAGAACACTATAATGGGATATTTTTCCGCTTGTATTGTGGAAGAATAAAGATATTATATCAAGATCTTGCCTTAAAATAAACTTAAGACTCAAAAACTTAGTTTTCTCCGTAGTTAAATTAGACTCAAGTTGAAACATCACAGTTCCAGGATGAAATAACTATAAAAGTGAAGCTTCGCCTCTGATTTATCAGACCTTCAGCAGTTTTATACAAAATGATCATTCTCTACAGAATTGTTTTAGAGAATTTTCGGTGTTCTAAACACAAAGTATAATCATCTAAATTCTACTATTCTTATGCCATGGCTACAGAATTACAGAAAATGCAAGTTCGACTCGTCTTTCATTCAGATGTTATTCAAAAAATAGTGGAAGACATATTCATATTTATAGTATACAATACAATAGTAGAATATCCATTCGCTTTTTTACTTTAGAATAATGCACATAAAAAAAGTAAACTTTATAAGGGATGAACAGTAAAAATCTATACCGACCACAAGTTTTGTTCGATATTTAAGGTTTCAATGTTGAAAATATAAAAAGTCTTTCTATGTCATTATGACATTTCAGGCAAGTAACAGTAATTTCAATACGCTTTTTTTGTCTTGACTGGCGTATACAAAAAGGTAATAGTTGATGGAAGAAAGATTATGATATTGAGGTATCGATCAGAATCCTTTGAAACTTAAATTTCTGTTATGTTATAGACATGCATGGAAAAGTTTACTCTCGCATCATAGTCGATATATTTTCTTCTATCGCATCGAAAATCTACTTTCAAGTATCCGCTCTGATACAAAATTTAAAAATATAAATCATCATAAATTAATAACCAGATTTAGTAAACTAAGTGAAGTATTCGTATACTACCTGAAGGTTTTTTTTAAATATTTGACTGCTCTGAGGCTTATTTTTTTTCTTTTTCTTCATGATCATCGGTTTGCTAATTAATTTTCTAGCTTAATGAAATCAAATCATGAGAAAACAAATCTTTTTTTATGAGCACATGAGTGGTCAATCAACAAGAATTAACGCCGATATGCGAGAAAAATTTGATGTCTATCTAAAAACAGAAAAAAACAATAAAAACCAATATGTCTGTAGTTGAAAAATTTTGTAAGACGGTGAAGAAAAAAAATCATACACATGTAACAAATCATAAACGATGGTTAGATACAGAGACATATCAGTTGTGAGAATCACAATTGTCTACTAACAGGAAAAAACTCAAATATCAGAAGTATCAATAGATTCAATAACTAAACCCCTTTCTGAATAGAATCTATCAGTTCTATGGCATGAGAACCAAACAGGAACTATAAACTAGTTTAATCAGAATTTTTTAAAAAAATTGATCAAATGAAAAGAATTAAACGGATTGTACTTTTGTGCATTATTCGCTTCAACAAGAGTCTTGTGACAAAGTACATGCGTATGTGAATTCAGTAAAACTATTTAATAATACTGGTTTTAGTTTAATAAACATTTTTTATTGTTTTTAGAATGTGGAAGAAAGTTATTACAATAGAAGAACATCTCACAAAATTCGATTTAACGAACAAAATACAAAACCATTTATTATGAGAAAGCGAATTAATTGACTAGGCTGGAGTATTGCTTCTTCAGTCACCTTAAATAAACTATCGAGAAAGTAAGAGTTTGACAACCTTTAGGATAGATCTGCATGTAACAAGACGCGAAACACTAAACCATACTCAGGCGCCCCACCCCCTCAATGTTATTAGTACGTTATACTTTAGCAATACATAGTTACTGGTTACAATACACGACGGGAAAACAAACCTCTGAGACGTTTGATGCTCTGAATCTCACTATGTCGCTTAACAATCTCTAAGAGCTTTGCTTTTTAAGATAAAGTCTGATCGTATCCAAGGCACTTATGTGCTTGAGGACGCTAGATATCAGATAATGACATATGACGACAGTCGTTTGCGACATGTTTCTTCTTCCTCTTGCGACACATTATTTTTTAGAGTGAGATTTTCATGTGAGAGAGTTAACTATTCTATAATAGTCGTTTGACGTTAATTTTGATGGCTGGAGTACAACTAAAAATCATAGTTATCTACGATTGAGAGCGACTGTGAAAGTCAATACAGACATTATTTTTGTAAAATAAAAACTTATGTTTCACGACCACCTCTCATCACCCAAGATTGAAATTTTAACACTCACTCTCAGATAAGCCATAAATAGGCAAAAATACTGAGGTTTCACCTTTTTAACGTAGCTATAAGGAAGACAATTGTGAAAAGAAAGAAAAAGCACTTTTATATATGTGGCCAATCACTTCTTCGTTACCCATTTCTGATTCGTTATTCTATACTCTATGTATTTCTCTTTTTCTCTCTTATTAGTTCTGTCTACCAATCAACGTACAACTGGAAGTAGAGAAATAGAAGAAGAAGGAAAAAAATGAGAAAAAGAAAGCGAAAAATACTTCCCAACATGGAGACAAGAGTGTATTATATTTGTTTGGTAAAGAGCATTTTGTTGTTTAAAACGAGCCTCTTCACCGATCTCAAAAGCCTTCTTCTTTGGCATCAGCCTCGCCATACATACAAAACAACAACAATCATACGGTAACACGGTAAGAGGCCTTCTCAATTGTATAGATTTTTTTAATAATGTTTTTTTTCTTCTCCTTTTCTTTTTATATGTATACATCTACTCACTCGAAATCCTCTCGTCATTGGTATTAACCTCACTCATATACATACTCGTATCCCTCTTAGAAGACTCTTACCCAACCCGTTAAGTTTTTGTCTCGTTGTCTCGACAACAATCAACAATAATGAATAATAATCGTTCAGTTTTTTCCTTTCATTTTATTTATTTATAATGAATCGGATATATTTCTTTCAAGTACTCTGTAAGTTTTTTCATGTTTAGAGCACAACAATTAATAAGGCTATTTAGAAAAATACGTTCTACAGTTACTACATACCATAGGACAAAAAGGTGTGCCATTAGCATGCAAAATTGAAATTCTTCTGAAAAACTTCTTTGACTATAAAATCAAACTTTACCTGATAGATATTATACAGTGGAGATGCAACTAGCAATTGAAAGATGCTTGGTTTCAGTTGAGACGTTATCACAATCTGCTACACTATTATCTTTTAAAGTATGCAAAACTAACCAAACCAGAAAGCTAGACGAAATAGATTTTGTCTTTTGTTTACACAGTGAGTTTTCTCAAATTTTAAAACAAAAATCGAAAATTTTTGCTTTTTTTGAAGCATGAAAGATGCTCTATAAAAACGAGAGTTTTCCGCACTGCACATCGGCATTCTACATAGGAATATGTATGAATGGTACTTTCTCATAACGAGACAAGGGTGATCCGATTTTTCTTTTGTTTTTGTCATGGGTCTCTACTGTCATAGTACCGCAGAATTATTGATTTTAAGTTTAGATAGGAAATTAAATGAGAGAAACTCTAACTTATATTTTTTGACGATGCGTTACCAAGTAGAGCTGCTCTCTTTATATGTGACATGTCACCTGGATGACTTGTATCCACGATACGTTTAGTCTATGGAAGAAGTATATCAACGTTTTTCCGTTTCAATTTTTGTCAGAGCAAAAAATAATTAATCAATGACGTAAGAATATACTCTAATAATTATGCAGAATCCGATACTTAAACCACAGGTCATTCAAATCGGTGATCATAATTTGTGTATGAGTCACACGACAAGGTAGCGCACGCTCTGACTATAAGTTAAGTAAGAACTCTACTTTTATATTTATAGGTGAACAAGTGAATATCTATGTAATAAATCAATATTAATGTCATTTACTTCTCCTCGATCATCCAATAACTCTAATATAAATCATATCGGACATACAATTTCTTCAACTCCACATAATATCAACAATAACAGTGGTATTGGTATTGGTACTGGTTATATGTCCCATACAGACTTTTTTCCATCATTTATTGATGATATTACATCTCCCACATCGTATAAAAAATCATCATCCGCTTCGTCGTCCAATGTTGATCAATCATCAGCTTCGGCGACAGCTGCCATGATTCATCATCCCTATTTTTCGTCATCCGTTTATCCATCATTATCAGCCAGTTATTCGGATGCTGCATCCTCTTATTTATCATCAAGATACAGTTCGACAGCCGGTGATTATTTACAACCTTATCGAACGGCAACAGGATCATCGCCAACAAATTCGTGGTATAATAGTCCTCACTGTACAGATCCAAGATTTGCAAGTAGGGAAAATTGTAATTTCATAGTGAAAATGTGTATTTCTCGAATTTAATTTTAACTTATAAAAATTATCTTTTTTTGTTTTTTTTTAGTGTCAAGATTTTTAACACAAACTCCGTCACAATATGATATGATGTCATCGTATCAAAATTCAAACGGTGATCCATTAAAATCTCCCTATCATCCATTTGCATTCGCACCAAAACGTAAAAGACGTGTTCTATTTTCACAAGCTCAAGTCTACGAGTTAGAAAGACGTTTTGCAAAAAATCGATATTTGAATGCACAAGATCGAGATCAATTGGCACAAATACTTGGTTTAAGTTCAACACAGGTATGAAAATAAATACCATATCTCTATGCAGAATGTTTATCAAATAGTAATTGTTTTTTTTTTAAGGTAAAAATATGGTTTCAAAATCATCGTTATAAAACAAAAAAGTTGTCAAAAGAAAAAGGAGGTAGTGGTGATGAACATTCAACACATGTTAGTTCGTCCAAGAGCAGTACACATTCATCAAGTTCCATTGATCCATCATTGCTAAAACATGAACCACGTTAAGTTAACTGCTTTTTCTTTCAATCTCTTTTTCTCTATTTCTCTCTCTCTCTCTCCCACACAGTATATGACTTCACAATAATTTGTTTGTGCAATTTTCTAACCGCTGACTCTCCACATGATTCTTGAAACCTTTGTTATTTTCTCTTGTTTTTTTTTAAAAATTAATGTGTCTGAAAATATAATTTGTTTATTTGTTCTGTTGTTGTTTCTTTATGTCATTTTTTTTTTATTATTTTTTTTGCGTAGTTTGTTAATATTTTATAATCTTAAAGAATGGATGGATTGATTCATTTTTGTTTTATAAAAAAGAGAAAAATAATGACTTGATATTTTAGAGACAAAAAAAAATTTGTCCCATTTATTTTAGTAGTGTACATTATACAACTTCGATATTATTATTTGTTGAAAATAGTTCTATATCCAAAGATGACTACTCGTATGAGATGTGAATATTATCTGAAATGGGATTGATTATACATTTTTATTTAATAAACAAACTGGACTTTGTTGCATGAAAAAAGTTTAAGGGTTAAAAGAAATGTCAAGCATTCCAATTTATTATATCGAAAAAACTACAACTCAGGATCAAACGTTTTTGATCCTAGCACATGTGGTTTTTAATTGTATTGTCAAAATATGATTACTAGAGATAATTTCCTTCGATTGATATTTCTCATATCCCATTTCCGGTCGTTTCTCTTTTCAACAGTGAAGAAGAAGAAGAAGAAAAAAAAACCCTTCCTTTCATTTGTAAATTATACAAAAAAATGAATTATAATGCGTTTATTTCATTTCAATGTCATATAGATAGACTTCCAGTGAAAAAGAGAACACACTAAACGAAGAAGAATGTATACTTTATCATTACGGATAATAAACTGATTGGATATTTTCTAATTCTATCACTAATTATTACAATGTCAATGAATTTAATGTGCATATATGTACAGGTAAAGAAGTAGAAGTACAATCGAGCAATTTCTCATATATTTAAAATATTTCTTTTTATATATTCTGTTTATTTATTTTTGCTAAGAGGGAGGACAAAATTGTTCTATTCATCTATAAATTTGTTTCTAATGCTGAGTAAATAATGAAATGAGACATTTTTCGTTATTTTAAACTTTTCAACTCTAATAAATGTGAAAAAGAAAAAAAATCATTTAGACAATCAATGATGAATGTTTTTTTTTTAATACTAAAAGTTTATTTTTTTAAAAATAAAATCTATCGTAGTCACATGGTAATAGCAAAAATTTAAAAAGAAATTAAGAGCAATATCAGTACTTCTAACTTATTATACTTCAAATGAATATTATTCATTTTGATTGGATTCTCTTATACTATGATCAAATTAATTTTGTTTTTTTCATCAAGTTGTTCGACAAATGAACAATTCAATTTGCATGCTGAATCCAATTTAATCATGGCATGGCAAATAAATTTTGATCGAAAAAAAAGCAAGAAAATACGATAAATTCCAGCAAACAAAATTTTGTGAATAAGAATAATTCTCTCGTAATAATAATTCTTCTTTTTCTTTTTTTTTTTTTTTGACAAAATGTCGACAAAAAGACTCTTCATGTCAATATCGAGTAGTAGAACAGCTGGACATAAGTGGCAATACTAGTAGAAATAGAGAAAAATAAAATAAAATTAGAAAACTATAACAAACGCATACGAAATCATCATCGTTGTCTTGAATAAGAAGGAAAAATTGTCCTCTATTGGTAATAGTAACGACACTTCACATGACAACATTACGATGGTGAATGTAAATATAAATACAAGACGAAGAGAATATTTTTATTGACTTATTTAAAGTGTCATAAAGTCTATCAAGCGAAACTTGGTCATTATTGAAAAGAAAAGTTGAGATTATACTCATAGACTCTTATTTTCTAAAAAAAAGATTTAAAATAAAAATTTCAATAATCTTTTAGTTTCTCTAATCAGAAATAAATTTTAAAAGTTTAAAAATAATGTTTTTTGTGAAGATTTAGATGAATAAATTGAATCTTTCATATCAATAATTCAAATGTTTCAATTTTTGATTTTAAAATCAACGTTAGAGTACCCAGTTTCTCTTCTTTATTTCTTTATCTCTCATATGAACTCGACACTTAACTAATCTTGAAACTTTTTCCTAAATCTCTCATTCTGACCATTTTGATACCATCTGGATAATTTATTATCATTTTTTTTCTTCTCTCCTGCTGTGATGGTGAACAACATGTTGAATAATATTTCAATTTTCGTTTTATTTGTCGCTATATACTTCATGATGTAATCGTTGTAGTATATTGACAAAAGAGACTTGTTCATTTTTTTTTTTCTTCTCTTTATCAATTGGGGATAAAGTTGTTAGCACGTGGTGGTATGTATTAATTGGAAAAGCGTGCATTTATCTACCTTTGATATAAAAAAGAACAAATTTAGAAAATAGACGCGAAAATCAGTTTGTTATTCAACACGTTCATCTAATCGATTGTACTTTATCAATACATATGTCATATGGATAAATTCAACAAGAGAATAATACAAATCTTGTCACTTGTATATGTTTGTTCCGACGTTTGAAGGGATTATAGGCACATTGAATTATAAAGCATTTCGATAAGACATGACCACCTCACATTTGTCTTATCCTCAAGAAAAGAGTTTATACGTTTCTACTAAAAATAAATTCTAAGACACTTTCGGAAATTAGTTACAACTTGAGAATAAAACACGAGTAATTTTTTGGTCGATAATTCGAGAGCAAAAAATAGAAGAAGAAATTTTTGCTCATACCTATTTGACTGCGTTGTTTCAAATATTGTTTTTTTTACTATTCTGCCTATTTATTTTCATACAGCGAATAAATACTGTAACATAAACACTTCAAAAAAACGTTTTACTTGCACAGCCCATTTTTTTCACTTTTTTTTTACCTTATTAATTGCCAATGGCAAAATAGTCTATAGTAGAATCTATGATATTATATTGATAAAGGAAATCGAAACAAAAGACCACTTAAGAAGAGAAAAGGAAAAATTTTAAACAAAAGAGAACTGATTGTACAGCAATTAGAGAATATAAATAGCCAAAAGAATTTCAAAAATAAATGAAACAATGAATATTGACTTTTAAAGATAGCGAGAGAATCAATTTTTTAGATCATAAAAAGAGTGAGTATAACTGAACGTCTGTTAAAATCAATCGGCATTGACCGTTGAACACATATTATAATTGTAAAAAGCATTTGTTACTAGACTTTTTGATATTTTAGGTTATTTTAATAGTAAGTGAAGCAAGAATAAAATATATTTGTATGTGTAGAGTACGAAGAATCATTTTCTTTTTCATTATCAATTAACCGATGTGTAACACTTGTTTTCATTGATTTCAACAAAATATAAGAAATTTACAAGTCAAACGGTAATATATTCAATCAGTTGAGAGCGGGAGAGAGAGAGAGAGAGAGAGAGAGAGAGAGAGAGAGAGAGAGAGAGAGAGAGAGAAAAGAAAGCAAACGAAATTACTTTCTACATGTATTTATCGTGCACTAGTGTTATACTGTTAGCTTTATGTTTAATTATGTATCCTCAACTACGGGATATCAAAATAATTATCCATGTTTTTTCTTTGAGATATTTCAAGATATTTCTAAGTCAGTTATAGATGTAGTCAACTTTCATAACTAACATGTTGAGAAACAACGAATTTCAATAATGTAGCATCACACTACCAATCAGTCATAACGAATTGATGAATTTTCCAGCGAAAATCTAAGACATATTTCTTGTAATTACACAATATTTTACTATTCAAAAGTTATTTTGTGAATTTAAATACATAGATATTTTAATGAAAGACTTTTGCCCAATTAGTATACGACTCTATTTACTCCTAACAGTAGATCGATTGTGTTATCAGCAGCATTTTTGTTGTTGTTCACAGTTATATTTGACAATATTTTATTGATTATGTAAGAGTATTTGAATTAAACGTCAATATCAACAAAACATACATATACACGTGGACTACTTCAATCATAGTATGTAGCATCATTTACTCAGTCGTTATTTACATCGATCTGATTTTATTGGACATAAATACATGTACACAGATAATATATTCTACAAAAGAGTTTATCATGTAACAATTACGAAATATTATTATTGGTTTGTCGTATAAACCCTTCGATACCATCTAACATGTTTAGTCTTATCTACAGGCATGGAAATCTGTTCGACACGAGAGAGAGAGAGAGAGGGAGAGAATGAAGGTTCTTGTAGAAGATCTTCAAAAAAAATATTGATTTAGTTGTATTATTAGACGAGACATGTATATCTAATTGATTTGTAGTATAGCAGGAAATGTTGACTTTTATTTAGAATAAAATGAACAGTAAAAACCATTAGAAAAGAGACTATTAAAACAATCAACTACTTTTAGATGTCTGAAAATTGTGATAGATTCATTGTGAAAATTTGATGAAAAACCTGTATTGTATGACTAAAACCTTTAAAATTAGAGAGATAGAGCACACATGTCACATTGTAAATAATTAGATAACCAATTATTTTTTATGGTTTGTATCATACTGCTAATGAAAATGAACAGCTTTTTTCTTAAAACATCCTTTAACATGATCAGTTTAATAATTAATGTTGATGACGTGACATTTGAGAATTTTTTTTACCTTAAACACATAATACAATTTTGTGAATAAAAAGTAATTAAACAATTATTAAGCTTAGAATTAGAGACTTCATTTGACATAATAATAACGGAGTAAAAGATAAGTCATTTCAAAAAATGTATAGGATATCCGTCTCTTGGATGTGACATATACAACTACAAAATCCACCTCTTTTTTCTTCTTTAAAGAAAATAAAAATGTTTCCGAAATTGTAATTTATAGAGAAAGAAGAAGACAAAAAGGATACAAATCAAATTTGTTAAACAGCATGTTGTTTACCATCGTCCTGTACCACATTGTATTATCAAATATCATGTAGAGTTTAAAATTAATTTATTTTATTTTCTTGTTTTGAAAGTGGCTTAGCTACACGTGTACAGAAGATTACATAATCAAAAAAATTGTCCCTTGTGTGCCCACTTGAATCAATTGCTTGTACTATCGATGAAATATCCTAGAGTATGTATTAGACTAACTAGCCATCGTTATAGAAAACGTGATAATTGCTGAAATTGTTGTAATTAAAAAATTGCTCCAAAACTTTATAAGTACTTGTTAAAAAAGAAACAGAAGAGAATAAATATGTCTCCACTCTATAGAAGAAAATGAAAATACTGCAGATTTTTTAACTAATTAATCTTTTTCTAGAGGACTATACTCTCTACCTGTTTTATTCACTTAGATTTTTACTGAAATTCTACTATAAACAGGTTCCTGTTTCTCCCAATTTATGGAAAAAAGTCTGACGATTTCACATTATCGAACAAGTTAAATAATAAGAAGTATATTGAAAATAATTTGAATTTGTCCATAAATTTGATTTTTTTTTCACAACTTTTTGAGTTTTTATTTATATGTGAATATTATTTTTTTTCTTGTTAGTCATATTTGTTACTATTGTTAGTTATCTTTGATACAAATATCTAATTGGTTATTTTTCGTACATACTTTATGAGTTAACAAATGATAAATGAATGTATGAATGATGAGATAAAGTTGTTTGTATATTATAGCCAACAAGCTAATTTTTTCGAACACTTCACATGAAGAGTAAAAACATCGATATACTTATCATTAAACGATAAACCATAATAACGGACATTTAGAATTTGAATATAACAAGTACAAGTAACACAAATAATAACATCCAAATCTAAGCTACTTGAATTAAAACATTTTTATCTATATGAGAGAAAATAGTGGAAAATCTATATGATGAGACTTAGTGGATAGTTATGTGTTTCACAAAGATCGTATTCCGACAACGAGATTGAAGTAAAATCTTCAAGTATCTTTGATCGAATCTTTATCAAAAAAGAAAAAGTTAACAACAGATCATACGACTTTGAAACGTATCAGCTTGCTTTCTACGTTATTGTAATTAAAACTTTTATTCTGTTGTTGGTTAAATCGAAATCCTCAAGTAGTCCACTTGAATGTTAGCGAGCCAGATGACTTTCTCTTTCTCTTTCTATATATATATATATATATATAGAAAGAAAAACGATTGGTATAGAGGAGGAAATTTCACTTCCGATTCATTTATTTGTTGTTTTTTTCTGTACTATACCACCAACAAGAAAATTTAAACACCCGCTAGATATTCCCTTGTCATTCGTCTCAACTTGCTTACAGGCTCACTTACGAACTATACACAGTAATGTCTAATTATACAAAAAAAAATAATAATATATATATATATATCAAACTAATACGGAATAGAAAAAATTCTTTTGCGCTGATGTCTCATTAAAACTATTCTACTCAATTATCCATGCAGATAATACTAACTCAAAGAGAAACTGAAACATACTTGACTAAGATCTCTATTGTTTTGTCTTTAGTGATATAGACAAGGAAAAGTAAAAGAAAAGAAGAGATTATAAATTCATGATCAAAGTTGAACGAGGTAGAATGTCAATTAAATAAATCGAGCTAATATCGACTGTAAATAAATTGGTCTCATAATTGTTTTTCAAGAATAAGCATGTTCGGTCTCAAGATGTACTGTAGACATTATATAAACTACTTCCTAATATGAGAAAACTGAATAAATTGAAATTTTTAAATCAGAGAATTCATAAAATTAGACTAAAATAAAAATTTAAACATTTCTGAATATAAGAGCATCATTTTTCTTCATTATTAAGTGAATATCAGTCTATCTTGAACAGACGGTACTAAAAATAATACTATGACTAGAGACTTCAAAAATGAACTACTATCACCAAATATTGTTTTAGATTGTTTGTCCATATTGCGAACTCTCTTTGAGAAATTTCTTGTGTCATCCATCACTTTGATTTTCTATATACTTTAAAATTCTCTCTCTCTTTTTGTCGCTCTTTCTTTTTCTCTAGTTCAGATGTTCACGTAATGCATACATTAACAACGAAGAACACTGAAGAGGTTTTCAAGTACTTTAAATCGTTAGTACCAAAGAGGATCTGTCACCTGTGCAACTTTTTCTTTTAATTTCGATTTATATCTCAAAATGAGAGAAGAGAAGAGAGAGAGTAATTTAAAATTTTTCACAAACAAACCTTTTTCTCGTAGATTTGTATCAACATATACGAGAGAGAGAGATATAGAATCACTTTAAGCAACTAAACAAATGGAAACATGATAATAGCTTTTATATTCAAAAGTACTTCAGAGTTCTAATTTTAGCAGTACATAGGTTATTTTACACTCAATTTTCTCATGAATCAACAGATATCAACGTAAAAAGTAATTCAAATGGTCAAACCGTTGTCCTCTATGACAACTAACTATATTTAATAGACACCTCTCGTAACCGTATAAGATTACGATGACAAAATGGAAATAATTTTTTGGTTGATTGATTAGAAAATTTCTCCTGCTACTATAATGACGTTAAAATCTATTTCAACTAAATAATTCTGCTTGGTCATAAATTCGTTTACACTATCATGTTTTCGGTAACTGTTCGCTATGCATTCAAGACCACTCATAATCATTTCTACGTTAAATAACAAAATGAAGATAATTGTTCGAATGAATGAAGATAATAAGCATAACTATCTACCACCCCCATCTTCATACATGTGGAAAAGTCAAACATAGAAAATCTCGCTAAACCAACTATGAATAATAAAGAGTATAATTAAAATTTGCATAATATCTCATTGATTATATTAGTGTAAAACCAACTTAGAAATTCATTGGTGAAAAATATATTCATCAGAATATCGCTCAGTGCTCCCTTATTGTTATCTTTTAATCACTTATTAAACTATTGAAATTTTATCAAATAATCAGAGTTATTATATTTTTCTCTTAAAAAAATTTATTAATGTTAAGTGGTCTTCATACCTTCCTTGCACTCAATGATCTTTCGTGAAAAACTACTTATTATTCTTTTAGATACTAAGAAATCAAACAATTTTTAATGAAATTATCTCTAAACCTCATCAAATATGAAATAAATCTCTAACCTAATATAAATATAAGCTAAAATAAAGATGACGCCGAGATCGACTATACACGAGCGTTGACGATGTTGGCATCATTAGTCATTATGGTATCCTCCCGATTCGTCGACTAATTAATGTTTTTCCTGATTCGTCGACAACATTAGGGAGAGATGAAAGGTATTAGTGAGGCGTCGACATTATAAAATGTCAATGAAATAGGAAAATCAATTAACGTGTCGACGAATCAGGACTGCACTGTCATTTTAGCTGATCTTGACCTTTGTTCGGTTCAAATCAGATGTGGATAATGTCCACACGAGATACATCTTGTGTAAAAAAGAACCATCGCCTAACGTTTCTAGACTCCTAATATCATATAAAAAGATGAAAAAAAGTTCAGGACAAACCATATATGAGTGAAACAAAACTATTTGTTCTTCAAAACCCAATCAGTATCGTGTAATAAAGATGAGTAAACGTTTGACATTAATGTCTTGAGCATTCATTGTCTAATTAAAAGGATATATCAGAAGGCCAACGGTTACTGCTAAACTTCCAACGGACCTATTACTGAATAATATTCAAGATTTAAGTACTAAATGAGTCTTTAGTCTTGACTGATTTACATACTGATTGACACAAGTAAATATAAAAGTGAAGACGATGCTAAAAACCCAGAAGACATAATTTCAAACAAATCTGTCTGTTATTTTATACATACATAGAAATCATCTGATTTTTTTTATCTTGCTGTTATACATATTAAAGTTACAAAAACTTATTTTATTGTGACAATGTACATTATCTGATTGATTTAGGGTGCACTTTACTAAAGTTTTATGTATTTTGTCAACTATGTGTCAAAAAAGAAATATGTATTTCGTACTGTACTTTGCAAGAGTGACAACGACCAATGGGTAACATGCTCGAGAAGAACTTTGATTGGTTCTAAAAAACGATCGAAAGAAAAGATAAAAAAAAATACCGGCTGATTTTTCTTTTCTCTCATTACTTCTCTTTCAAGTTCAGTAATCCACAGACATACATACATAACCACTTTTTTTGGTAAAAATTAATTTTTTTTTGAGTACCGCTTCAAAACCTCTTGTGCACAAAAAGTACTTATAACACTCTTTGCTTGCCTCTTGTTGGCATCTTCAGAAAAAGTTTATATATTCATTTTATTGTACTTACGTTTTTATTTATTTTATTTATATTTTATCATCATAATTTTAAAAAAAACAAACAACAATAATAACAACGACGCCTATGACAATAAATAATCACTTTTTTTTTCTCTCTACTTTCTGTTCTTGAAACTCTTTAGTCGGTTTATACACAAATGCCTTGTCATTTTGTTCTTTATGGTACTTTTTCAAGTTTATAATAAAAACCGATTAGCACATACTTCCCTTTTTATTCTTTACCCACAAAAAAATATCTTGAACACATACAATACAACACAAACGAACATATAGTGTACGCATCCGTTGGCTATCGACCGAGAGAGACAGAGAGAGATTTATTGTATCAAGTAGTACTAAAGTATATCGAATGAGGAGCACTCTAATCAAGTGTTATACAACATACTTGTAAAACACGGATGGAATTAGATTAATTAAAATAATCAATTAATTGGTAAATGTTGAAATATGTCAGAACAATTAGATGCACATTCATATTATACAAAGTGAGTTTATTTGATTTTTTATTGTAATATTTACATTAAACACAACAAGAATCCGCTTGTTGATGTGTGTCATCATTTTTTTAAAACTATCATCTTTAGTTTCTTGTTATCTCATACAGAAAATTTCAGCAAGGAAACTATACTTAAGATAGTAGACTATATATAAGAGTGTTGTTATCTACTTTAGTCAGATTAAACGTAGTTCTTCTCCATCAATGGGTCCACATGGTATGCCATTCTCTGTTACCGATATTTTACATCCACTAGATCCAGAATTAACATATAAACGCTCATTAGAAATGGCTACAGCCTTAGCAGGAATGCCATCGTACCATCATCACCGTCCCACTCCAACAATATCGACGAATTCATCTTTAAATAATAATCTACACAATATCACCAATAATAATACCATTAATTTGAATTCTTGTTCAATGGCAAATGGTTCCACATCGTCAACGCCACTTACTGGCACCACGTCGACACATTATTATAATCCTCATTTACATCATCCCAGTTCAGCATTTTCACCTAATGGTTCATATTACAATGGAAATTCATCGGCTGAATCACTTTATAATACTCCAAATATTTCGCATAATGGGCAATATTCACCAACGTGTTGGTATGGAACAGCAGCAAGTAAGTTACATTCATTTCATGTTTAAATTCTTAATATTATATTCTGGCACAATTTTGATATTGTACAGAAGAAATGAAAATTGGTTCTAATACAAAAATGATGTGTAGCATATATCGGTCATTCGGATATAAAAATAAAATGTCACTAATCATAGTTAGCGACAGATAGCACATCTTCAAGCGAAACTCATGAGTAGCGATTCTTTTTACCTTTTAGTGTCACGGTTTCTTGGTACATCATCAGATAGTGCCGTCTCTGCTCTGGCAAATGCTTATGATCCAATGAAATCGTATGCTCAATTTCCATTTGCATCTCAAAAACGTAAACGTCGCATATTATTTAACCAAGGACAAATTTATGAATTAGAACGACGTTTTAAACAGCAAAAGTATTTGAGTGCACCTGAACGAGAACATCTTGCTGGTCTACTTCAATTAACACCAACACAGGTACAACTGGTTATCCATTCTTCACGCTCCGTCATCTTTTAATTCTTCTTTTCTACTTTCAGATAAAAATTTGGTTCCAAAATCATCGGTATAAGACGAAAAAACAGCAAAAAGAACGGGACAGAGCCGATAAACAACATCATCATCATCATCACCATCATCAACGATCTCTTCATTAATGCGCATTAATTACAGAAATCTCGTGCAATACTCACATACACATGTGGATAAAAACGACGCGGGTATATCTCGTTCTGTATTTATTGTTTGTTACCGGTGTTCTTATATTCTTGCAAGTTTGAAACTGCAAGTTTTCTACGGAGAGCGCGCGTGTCTATGAAAAACAATTGTTGAAAGTTGCGTGTGTCTAATAAATATTTGTAAATAAGCTTGTTTGTGAAAATACCGAGTTCTGTTTTTCTCTTTATAATACTTGTAGACAGTGATATTGTATAACGCTTCGTGTTCTTCATCTTTAGAACAAATCGTACTTTGTACAGAATAAAAAGTTCCTTTAATCTGATCAAATAAGAGACATTGTGTCGTTTCCAAAGAAGAAAATATTTTAGTGCGATGGTGCAATTTATCAGTATTCTTAACAATTTAGCTGAGGACAAATTTACGAATTCGAATACGCAATTTAGTCACTTAGATCTCTGCTCATTCATTTTCTTTCGACATATCTTGTTTTTACATAAGGTATACATGACAAACTTAGATATTTCGTGGAATTTAACGCTCTCTATAATTGTGCGCATGTAAATCTTATATTTAATCACTGAAATATCCCCATAGGTATCATCTCTGTGGTGACCGTGGCATTTGAAGCTGTCTGGTACTTTCATATGTTTCGGAGGTTAAGTCGAATCTGTAACGCAGAATGGTTCTTATAGCTAATGACAGAATTAAGAGTAAAAATTTTCCTTGCATTCAGAATATTGACTATATTTTTAGTCGATTCTTGCACAGAAACGAGGCCTGTGTTGCTGATAATGTTTTGGGATGGATACGTGTTAAGAAAACCAATCACACTGAAATTAGCCAAAAGTAGCTAGTTAAGATAATAAGATATTTGAGATGATATCTAATAATTTTCTTTATTCGAAAGAGAAATGAAAACTGAGTTGACAGTATAAACGTGATAAAAAATAAAAATCTGCTTTCTATGCTCGATGAAATTAAGTGCCTACTGTATTTTAAAATCATCTTGATATTTCTAACTTCCCATGCAAAAATTAACCAATTTTTTGGGTCATTTATCTAGATTCTGATGCACGTGCATCCAGATGTACGTGGAGCTGAGTCGTTAGATAAATGATCCAAAAATTAAGTCATTATTGCATGGGTTGTGTTCTGAAAAAAAACTCGTTTATAAAACTTGCTGTATTTTTCGCTTCTTGTTTTCTCGAATTTTGAACATAGCTATAGACAGAGAGTTAAAAATTATTTTGCTAGTATCATTCGATATCATGTTTATTTGCTGAAATTTTGTTAAAATCATATATAAAATAATAAATTTTTTCTGGCTGTAGAAAGTTCTACCTGAATATCTAATCGTGAACAAGTCCAGCAATGTTCCGTCTCTTTCTCTGTCTCCTTAATTTCCTGAACCAATCAGTAAGTAATATTTGAAGGATTCGTTAACCAATCCATTAAGGAAAACTTCTTCAAACTTCTAAGTCAAAGGATTGTTAACTTACCCATCACAATTCTCAAAAACGACCCTCATTCAAAAAATACTCATAATTTCATACTCTCTAAGAGTGGGTAATAGTAAAACATGAGGACATCCACAGACACGTACAGACAGCACACAGACATCCACAGACCGCTACACAGACCGCCATGGATATCTGTTAAGCTGTCTGTGGATGTCTGTGTGCTGTCTGTGGGTCTCTTCATGTTTTACTATTACCCCGCTAAAAGTTACCAACTTCTATTCTTACAGTAGATAAAGGAGAGTGATAACTGTATTTTCGTGAAAGAATGCGTTGATATGCTTGCGTGGTTCTCAAACTAGTCTAAATTAACCGTTAAACGAATAACAATTACATTACTCAGTGTCTACGCAATCATGAATAATTTGCTCAAGGTTTTTACACGAGTTGACGACGCCGAAATTCGAACACAGTGTTTTTAAGGTACGTGACAAACAACATAGGTAAAATCATACTGTCTAAGTAATCGAAGAGGGTTACTTATATAACTTATGAACGACAAGATCTATTAACTTCAACTTTTCTGAATTTATAGCTCTCGTCAAATGCTGATCACTTGCTATTTGTCGCCGCTTAATGGGTAGTGCGATAGCCACAACGTTGAACATTTTTCCTCCTTTCTCTTTGAGCTTATTTTCGAAAAAACAAGATGGTATTAGCTAGATTTTCTGATTTTTATGAAAACCTGGTTATACGTAAAACATGGTATGGAACGTGAATCTTGCACAACAATTTAACGATCTTCTAAAGAAAACCATTGCTTGCGTTTTACAATCATAAATCGAGGTTATCACTTATTCAGGTTAGAGGAAATAACATAAAATAACGTTTCATCAAAAATTTTAATTTCTGACTGAAAAACGGTTGATCTAAGGCTCCGCTAATTCAAAAATCAAATGGAAAAGCGTTTGAAATTTCAAACACATATTCTGATTCGTCGGACGCTGCTGATCACGAACCCGATCTTACTTTTTCCAATTGACACTTGTCAGTCGATGACTTTTCTTCATGTCTTAAACCCTTATAGCTGACCAAACACTGATCATTCGAACCTTGAGGTTCTCACCGCGCAATGCTATCTAGTTTTTGCCATGAGAGCTAGATACTTCTTTTATACGCCAGAACATTCGCGTTGCCTTGCTCCACAAAAGCATGCTTCATCTTTTTCAACACTTTTTTCCTTTTAGGAGAAACTAGAAAAAGACTGGAAAAGTGCGAGTTTTTCGAAAAATCCTTCAGATGATGAGCCCATAGCTCAATGATATTTCCACCTAGAGACCTGCTATTATGGTTTTCTAGGTAAAAAACAATGCTAAATATGTTAGAAATGCGATTGAGAGGTTTGGAATTTTCCAAGTAGATTTCGCAAAAAACCAGAACTCTGAGAAACTTTCAAGAGCCTTTTGGAAATCTTTTTCGTCCCAAGCGCATGATATCGACAGAGCGTCAAATTCTGAGCAAAATGAGACGTCGTCGAGCCTTCTAGCACATCTCTAGGCTGAGATAAGGCCATTTTACTTTCAGAGATCCGGCTGACCCAAAATCCTTTGCAAGATTTCCCAATAACTCAGCCTAGAAAGACGCTGGAACGCCCGGGAAGATCATGCATTTTACTCAGAACTCGATGTGCATTCAGACGCGATGCCGCATGAAGGGTTACAGAGTGATGACGAGGTTAACTGAAACATCGACTCTCTGGAAATCTCTCAGAGTCCTTCGGAAATTCATTATCCTGGCGAGGCATCGCATCTGAATGCGCATCGAGTTCTGAGTAAAATGAGATCTTCCCGGAGTTCCACCGTATTTCTAGGCTGAGTTATTTCGTGATCAGCAGCGTCCGACGAATCAGAATATGTGTTTGAAATCTCAAAAGCTTTTCCACTTGATTTTCGAATAAGCGGCGCGATGGAAGAAATTT